GGACTATGTTTGCACCATAGTCACACAGTTTTGCTCATCGCTCAGGTGGAAAATTCTCACTTAGGATTTTTGCGCATGGATCGAACGTTGGTATCAAAATCGCCAACTTTCGCCCGCTTAGAAACTCTGCTTTGATAACTCAGAAAGTAAAGAACACAATTGCTTTAATCATGAAACGCATTAAAAAGTCGTAATTGTTCAATGGTGCGGGTACTTTGGCATGAACCAGTCGCTTCAATGATAAACGTTGAAATTCACGAACTTCTGAAGTGTCCTAATATAAAAATAGAAGCAGCAACAGACTTCTTTAACACATTGACGACCGCTTGACACACCATATGTGTTAAGCAATGACTACTGGGACCGCTTGACACACATGGTGTGCCAAGGTTTGAACTTCGTTGAAATGACGATTTTCTTAGTACAAAGTCATTCCAGGTGTTTTTTCTTGCTCTGAATCTAGAATTAACATCTATCTTCTTCGTCAGCCCTTTGCAGCTACTGTAAGTATACTGTAGATGGCAGTATGCGTATTTTATTTAGAGAAGGCTGACTGTTCCGTAAATTTTCTTGCTTTTAGGTGGCAGACGATCAAAAACTTGCGTGCTCATCAATGTGTTAATCACCTAAGTTTATGTACAGCATTTAAATGATTGCATTTACCGCAAATGGCAACGATTCAAAAAATTACACTGAAATGAGACTTTGTTATCTGCAGTTTTTCTCATCCGGTGGTCCGGGGTTTTGACTCATCTCAGGAAGAGTGTGACTGAGAAAAAGTACTAGCACATTGTAAGTCGAGTACAAAATCAAACCTCACCGAAAAATTCTGAATGGTGGCATTCCGCGTTTAGTGCACTGAGCATAAAATATTAAACGTTTATTTTCACGATTTCGACGAAATGTCAAAATTTTGACATCTGAACACTTGTAATTTAGAACATTTTTTGCAAAAGGTTGAAGGTTGCTTTGCTGCTATAACGATACATTACATCTAAGTCGTGAACAGTCGGAATTGTCTTTGAAATGTCAAGGAGTTAGACTGATGGCCTATGTACACGGAGAAACTCATTTCTATGGATGAGATGGCACCGCAAATTTGCAACAGCTTGGCTATTGTTTGCTTTATTTGTTTATGGCCGTGACCCTCATGCATTTTTTGTACACACATCGCTGCTGTAAACAAGCAATATACAAGCATACAGCATTATTTGTGCACCAACCCAGTTTTTGATTTTTGGCAGAAGTCGAGGCGGTTACAAATTCGCTGCCACTTAAATTTAACTCCTCTGTATCTATTTTGAAACTATCACCGTTTCCTTCAAAAACATCTGATTTCCTCTTGAAGAGCTGATGCTGTAATATTCTAAGTTTTTTTTTCAGCTACACGTCTTAATGTGTCATTTTTAAAATGACTGAGCAAATGCTCATAATCGCACAATGTGACTCATATCTGCACATATATTTGCGTTTTTCCTCTTAAGTAGATTTCCTTTTACTTTACATATGTAAATCATCATTTTGAAACAGCACAGAAAAAAGGTATACAAAGTAGCATTAGTTGATAACAAAAAGGAATTTATACAAAAGAGCTTCGAAGATTATAAGCAGATTATGCACAGCTACCTAGAGCACCATCCCATTTTCCGCTCACGCAAGTGACAGTGGACTGTCCTGGAAATAGATATATCCATTAATATGAGTTTTAATGTACCTGAAACTGGGAAAGCCAGGAAGAGTGATTGTTTCAGAACGACCTCAAACGACTTGTCTATTTTGGAAGAACATCGGTTTTAGCATTGATTTCTTCCAAAAATGATCCGCTTCAAACCTGTGCCTTTAGATCTTTGATCTCTTTCAACACTGTGTAATTGTTGACTACGTTCGTTACTCGGTATTATGTGTTACATACCACTCGCTTCTGCACCAGGATGACATCTAAGCTTAGCAACAGCTCCATCATCAAGCTGCTCTTTTGGTCGAACCACGATCTTATTTTTCATGTGATACATGATGCGAGCCTGCGAATCGTCCGGCAACGGATCGCATGAACCCTCTATAAATTCTATTATTAAGCCAAAACGACAGAATACTTCGTGCTTGTACCTGCTTTATCTGCGAAGACAATTATGAAAATAGAGAATATGACCACCGTCCTCATGGAGATATTCCTAGCAGTAGAACAAACGCAATAAACTGCTGAAAACAATCATTGTTAAATCCAGATTAAACTGTATGAAAAGAATTACAAGTGCCTTTAGCTAGTCTACCATCTGATAGATTTGACAGATGCGATGGGAAAATAAGAGAAAGATGGAGAAATCAAAAATGCTACTCATTTGTGCGACACAGATATCAGCTGTAATCGGTTGCGCTTCGGATCACGCAGAGTAAACATCACCAGACCAATTTGTCTTTTACGCCGTTAATCCTTTGCGGGATTGTGGACAACATCGGAAATTCCTTACTACACGAAAAAAAAAACAATTATCTATGAGTCAACTCCACTAAATTCGTAGGGTTGGAGAATACATGCACAAAACATATGCAAAAATGGGAATCAAACATTTTCTATTGCAAACATTTTCTGAATTGATAGGGCGGCCCAGAGAACTGAGTTCAATAATGTCTGAGATCGCACAAACTTGAAAAATATTCTTAGAACAAAATAAAAATATTTTTTATTCTTTGCATCTTTCGTGACTGAAAGATCTCTCCTTACATTTCAACCAACGTCCTTTCCATCCAATAATTTACTAATGCTAGGGCCTGTTTGAAAGAAGGTACAGGCGATTCCCAAGCGTATAGCGGACGTGGCCCTGCAGACATTTGAACACATCAACTCCATCTTAAAGCATCAGTTTTTGTACTCTCTACTTATCAAAACTGCCATGCGCATACGTTGACAAACTTGGCAAAGCTCCGCCCGCTATACTGTGGGGAATAGACGATATCTACATAAGTTACAAGTTTTCAGATTTGATTTTCCAATGTTCTTTATGAACACACGTTATTAATGTTGAAATCACATGCACTTATTTTTGTAAAAATTTCTACCAGCAAATAGTAGTCCTGTTTTGTTTGTCAGGCTGTATTTGAC